CCCCTGACCGGGGCTCCCCCCAGCCCCTCACGCGCGAGCGTCCGCCCGCCCGCCCGCAAGATTGCAACACGCCCAGAACCCCAAAGCCATACTCGCAACCCAGGCGCTTTACGGGACCGCTCCGCTCCGCGGTCCGGGACCGGCGCCAGGTTGTCCGAGGAAGGGTATTGCTCGGGCTGGGTGTGGGTGCTGTCATTGCAGCCGAGATCAGGGAAAGAGAGGAAGACGCGAAGAGGAGCTCGATCGAGGAGGAAAGAGGATATGGGGAAGCCCTTTGGCAACGGGGGCGCTGGCGCGGGCGCGACGAAAGGGGGGGGGAGGGGACTACCGACCAATCGTGCCGTTCTCATTGGTAATTCTCAATTCTCATTCCCGCAATCCCGATTCTCATTCCCGCCATCCCATCGCCCGGTTCCCCCTTGTGCGGGCTCCGCTCTAGAAGTAAGATCCAGGTCATGTTGCCCGCGGCGTGCCAGCGCTGGCAGTGAATATACCATGCGTGTACCGGGACGCATCAGCGCGGCGACCATCGTGCCTCCTCTTTCGATTCCCAGGCTCTTCTTGCATCCATCCATCTGCGAATACCACGCGGAACGAAAAGAGTCAGAGGCAAGAGTCAGACATCAGAGATCCGAGTCGGACATCAGAGTCGGACATCAGACATCAGAGGCAGAAATAAACAAATAAAGAAAAGAACGACTTCCCGAATCCACTCCCCCCGTGCAGTAGAGCACCGAGCGAGCGAGCTTGACAAAATAAGATGGAAAAAAAAGGGAAAACATGATCAGCTAGATGATTGCCGTCGTATTATATAACACCACGTTCCATTGCGGGCGGGGTTGCGAGATGGAAACTATCTATGCGCAAGCAGATGATATAAAAGGTAGCCAGCACCACATACATTGACCTAAAGTAGTTGATCCTACCCCCTCGGAAAATATCTGCAGGCCAGTCAATCCACTCACGACCTGGGGAGGACTAGCGCACTAGGCCTCCCCCCCAAGCCTGACGAACTTGGTCACCAAAGCCAATACATCCAGGTCTCACTTACTCTTCAGCTTGTTCTGCTTGGTACAAGACAAGCTCAGCTGGTAAACACTATGTGGAGTTCCCGAGAACGCCAGGGCTAACGCAATCCCAATCCCCAGTCCCAGAGTCCCAGTCCCTTGACACCGATTTTCCTCGCTATCATTCCCAAACTCCGCATTTTTAATTTTCACAAGAGAGAAGAAAAGGAAATTAAGGACCTGATCCTCCAGCCGGAGCTGAAGCCGGATCGATCTCCTCGGCAGGAACAAGCGTTGGCGCAAGCCGTCTTCTCTTCTTCTCCACTCCGTCATCACGCTGACTCTCGCTCGCATCGCGCTTGGCGCCACTCACGCCTTCATTCGTACTCAGCGGCGTCTGTGGTGGCGTGGCGATTGGGACACCACCTACAAACCCAACATTGCTACCAGCTGTAACTCCAGGCATACTACTCCCGACCAGCGTAGGATTGCTGATAATAGTGCCAGGTGCGTGAGAAGATTGCGTAGCGACGGACGAGGTGGAATTTGAGCGAGTCGGCGAAGAGGGACGGATGGAAGGGGAAGGGGCGGCAAGGGGAGAGGGCGCTACAGTAGACGAAGTGCGCTTGTGGCCGGAGAAAGGTGAGGATGGTGCGACAGCGGTCGGTGTTGCCATAGGAGTGTTTTGGGACGAGGAGGCGGCAGTGCTGAGAGATGGGCGTTTTGCGGTGGGGACGTCGCCGGTGTAGACTTGGCCTAGTTCTCCCGGAGCGAAAGTCAGAGTTGAGCAGAAGCCGTCCGAGGATGTCATGAGAAGTGTTAGGCCATCGTTGGACCTGATGAATGTGTTAGTAATGGTCATGTGAGATGGGGTTAGAGACTTACCAAGTCAGATCGGTGAATGTCGCACAGTGGAGATTGCTGACGATACACAATGGCGTTTGTTGCTGAGTATCGTACATCAGAACCGAATCCTCTGTCGCAACGGCGTATACCATTCGGTATGGAAGTGAGAAAGCCATCATCGGTCCGGGTGCAGCGGACGAGTGTGTGTCCATTTCCACTGGCTTAGGCTTTGGAGAAGAAGTAGGCCCCGAAGAGTCGGTCTGAGGTAGAGTAGGCGGGGGATCCATTACGGATGGTGTTGCCGACTTGGGAATGACCGGGTCTGGCAAGGCTGACATGGTGTCCTCTGATGATGTGTCGATTGTGATGTTTTTGGTCGGAGGCGAAGCTTTTCGGGGAGTGTAGTAGACCGGGGAGCACTTGACCACCACAGATGGCTTCTTATGTCCTGGGAGATGTGCAATTGGTGGCTTATTGATGCCTCCTCTTGAGTAAATGTACACGGTGTTTGTGACCTCGTAAATCGTCTTTGCAGACTCCTCCGTACCCTTTAATTGCGATTGGTATTGACCAGCTGGTGTGAACAAGAGGCTTCCGTCCGGGGTAAAGGTCAATCGGCGGAAGAAGGACTTGAGGGTATCATTTGAGTATATGTGCGCATTCTTGACTCCCAGCCCAATGCTGTATGGTTTGGGTGAGGCCTCCATAGGCATGACCGCTGGGAGAGGTATTGATGGTGCTGGAGAAGCAGATCTCCGCATAGACATAGACGGCGAGGAGGGTCCAAATGAAGATCTGCGGCTGTGACTGATCGTACTGGGTGGGTTCATTGGCAGAGCGATAGAGGTTGGAGTACCCGGGCATGATGGAACTGGAGAGCCTAGAATAGCAGAAGTCGACATTTCTGCGGCGAATTGTTGGCGCAGGCCCATCTCTGGGGGAGCTGGGCTGTGAGAAGAGATTCGTCGACCTGGCAGATCCATCCTCAAGTTCTTGCCAACACTGCGGAGATCCTCGTCTCGATTATCCAACGTGTATGCCCCATCCTTCGTCTTGAGCGTGTAAATATGCACAGAGCGATCAGAGGACTGGGTTGCAATGTACTCGTTAAGGGGATCCCAAGCTACGCCCTGAACATAATGTTGATGCTCGGCGATTTGGCGTATCAGCTGTCCAGTCTGAGCGTTGTAGATTCTCGCAACATTGTCCATACTTCCAGTAATGAAGTAGACTCCGTCGGGAGACCACGCCAGGTCGTATATTTCGTGGCCTGACGAGCGGCACATGTGCTTCGGTCTCCATGTCTCCTTGTCTTCGGTGCCGTCCTCCCCAAATACAGGCTTTGCATTCTTCGAGTGTAAAGCCCAAATGATGACATTGCCATCGTCGCCAGCGGAAGCCAGGACGTCGCCTGTTGCTGTTAGGGTATGTACATATGATTTAAGAGTGAAGGCTTACCTCTGGGAGCCCAGCGTACCACGTTGACAGTCTGAATATGCTTGGCCATTGTGCATAAGTACTCGACATTTCTGTCCTCTCCCTCAGCATCTATTCTCCATAACTGTTATTCGTCAGCAACTGCAGACAGCATCTATCCTTTTTGCCAGACCTACCCGGACATTATTATCTCCCCCTCCAGTAGCCAATCTCCCCTTACCATGCGGCTGGAAGTCTGCAGAGTATATGGGGGCGTTCTCGGCGTGCCAGTTGACGATTATGGGTGCCGCCTTCATGATGGGCGTAGGGTGGAAGCTGGAGAGCCGCCGGCGAGGGAATCGGGGGGGGGCAGCGAGGCCTGGCCTATGGCTTGGGAGACAGCGTGAGACGGTGTGTTTGGTATTGTCCGGCGGATATGGCGGTGGTGGTTTTTTGCGTAGAATCTGGGTCGCGATGAGGAGAGAAGACTCTTGAGGATATAGGAGAGGCTAGATCTGGTCGGTTGTGTGTTGTGCTTTCGTAGTTTGAGGAGTTTGAGAAGATGCAGGTCAATCAGGGATTAAAGGTCAGCCCCGTTTGGAGTGAGCTCAAGTTTGGAGATGCGAGGTTTTGCCGGTGTTTTATACAATTAATTGAGTGATTGAGATTTCAGTAGCTTGGCCCGATTGCATTAATTTATATCAAATTTGAGAGAGAGATTGTATTGAATCCGTTTGACTCTTAATGTGGGGTATCTACGCACTACGTAAGGAGGAAAAGGTAGTTATTGTCTAAGCCGTCCTTCGCGTTGCCGCGTTTAACGCGTGCCTTTTCGCGTCGCCCGTGCTTTTGGTTCAGATGCAAGATGTTAAAAGGAATGTATAGGAACTGGGGATAATTTTCCCCACAGCTATCCCCTTTTCATCATTCTATGTCTATTACGGAGGCTATTATATGTTACAATTGTCTTGTGGTTATTTCAATACTTGACTGACTCTGATGGAATTGGTCGCGTAAGGCGATATAAAGATCAAGATCAAGATCAAGTTCAAGTTCAAGTTCAAGATCAAGTTCAAGATCAAGTTCAAGACCAAGATCAAGACCAAGATCAAGATCAAGCAAAGTCTATTCCAATCAGTAGCCTGGTCAGATCAGTCATAATACCAAGAAATATATCTATGATCGTTAGTTACCCTTGCTTATAGCAGGCAGCTGGGTAGGTAGTTGTCGCATTAAGCTAAAGTGTGCAGACATCCATACCTTATGCATCAACCCACCTTCGTCTACCTTGGTCGTTGTTGTCAAGTAGTTGTTGTCAAGTAGGAGTTAGATGTCATCATCCAAACTCGAGTCTTCAATTGCCGATTCCAAAAATAAGAGTCTACTGATAGAGCGAGTTGGCCTTATGCCCAACCACGGCTAAGCCAGCCAGCCAACTCACCGTACCGTACCGTAGCTAGGGAATTGAGCTACTGTATGTCGTCAAGCCCAACAGCGCCTCTTCGTCTACTTCTATCACCAATGTCGCGGTGTAGCACCTATACGAAGCACTTGATCGGTGGGTGGCCCGTCTGTGGCTTTTGCATCGGATATCTTCTAAGCCTCGTCTCCGGGAAAGCGGGTACCGGTATCGGTATCGGATTCGGTGTCATACCTGGATGACCTCGCTGCACGTGGGATATATTTCGAGACGGTTGATATTTCGGTATTGGTTATTTACATTTCAGATGAAATCGGCCTCAAGATAAATCAATTCAAGCTTCTAATCTTCTTGTCTTCTTCTTCTTCTTCTTCTTCTTCTTCTTCTTCTTCTTCTT